GAGAGAGAGAGAGAGAGAGAGAGAGAGAGAGAGAGAGAGAGAGAGAGAGAGAGAGAGAAATGGGTAGAGATGATGTAAAGTCATTGTCCATGCCTTGGGCAGGATATATATATTTTCAGACCCAAACGTTTCCTCAGCAAAGAAGCTTAAGTACCATTGGTGTTTCAGGTTGTTGACAGTGAACTTGGTTTTCTGAGCAGAGAACATACGGAGGAAGGTAAGCAGCTTGCTGTTTAGAAAGGTGAGATTAGTAAATGCTACTCAGGAGTTCTTTCTAGTTTACATTAGCTAATGGAATGAAAGAACAGGTGCTAAATTTTCACTCATCAATTTAGACGAATCACTTCACAGTGTTTCTTCTGATTGTGTGTGGACGTAGGGATTTGCAGGTAAACATGTGCTCACAAGACATCTGCAGAAGCCTTGGAGGTGGGCTGTCAGGTCTCCCTCAAGAGAGCACCTGCCACAAAGGGTGCAGTTAGCAGACAGCCTCCAGCTGTAACTCCAGGTCAGCTTTTAGCCAATGACTGAGCACAGTGGTGGTACCAGGGGCCACCCTTCTGTCCCTGGCAGGACTCCTCAATAGGTGATCTTTTCTTTTTTTTTTTTTTTTTGGTACCGGGGATTGAATTTGGGTCCTTGCACTTGGGAGGCAGGTGGTGGAACCACTGAGCTAAGTCCCCAGCTCAATAGGTGATCTTTATGATGGATTTCCCTGCTGGGTTCCCCAAGCTGTTTTCTGAGCTTCACTGCAGTCCAAGGCTCTTCCTACCTCATCTGCCTTCCTTTCCTTTCTCCTTTTGACAGATGTCAGACCTGCATGGCAGAATGAAGGCTCTCCCTTGCTACCCTGATCCCTCTCTGCTTTATCTCTCATTAAATCTCTTGTACTGCTAGTGCTATCTTGGCATCTGCTTCGTGGAGGACCTGAACCAACACAAGAACCCAGCCTTCTTTTAACCTTGCTAACCTCATCTTCCTCCCCTATTCTTCTGTCTGGCATGGGCTCAGCCATACACTCTTTCATGTTACTTTATGGAAAACCAAAATGCTATATCGTCACAGAATGCATTCCAACTTAAATGAGAATGGAATTGGGGGTCACCTCTAGTTTGAGATTACATATACTACTATTCTAATTCATTAATAGGGATAATTGATCTTATTACAGTTGGATCAAATTGGATAGTTCCCAGGAAAAGAGCTTGTACTTAAACTGCTGCATCACTAGGTGATGCTGCTGCCCCACACAAAGGCAGCAGCCTGAGCTGGGCTTGGCCAGAGCCATCCTGGGTTGGGGCTCCTGCCTTTCCTTGGCTGGATAGGGCCTATGGGTCCATAATCCACTCAAGAATCTGAAAAGGTAATTTCTGGATCTAGGTTTCTGGACTTTTGGAAAGTATGTTAAATCAATCTCTCTTTCCCTGAGCTTACAGAATCACGTGCATGTATGAGGAAGTTTTCAGGAACTCTAAAATTGACTCAGGAATTAACTGTGGTTATTTTACTTTCTCTAATTACCCAGAAGTTTGCCTTACATGACTGTTCATACTTTTGGATCAACAGAACAACTCAGCAAGATTCAAGGAGTATTGACGCCAAAAAACCTTACCTAGACTCCCTCAAAAGAGTTGCATGTCCAGACAGCACTCATGTGAGTTAGCACACAAGGGAGACATAGGGCTTCTTCTGTGCTTTGTATCCTCTCTGCTGTACACAGACAGTTACATCCGCATCCAGGCTTTTAGCTTTAATGCTGCCATCTTTGACACTGCCTCCTCTACGCCCCTTCCATGTGCAGTCAGCAATCTGTAAACATAACACCTGTCTTGTAAGTTCTCATAGACAAAGCTGCTGAGTGGGACTAAAAATTTAACCATGCAATTCATCTCCACACCTAATCAGTCATATCCATTCCACATGCACAATCTTCCTTTCTTGGAGTAGCTGGATTGGTGCATTGGTTAATCTGAGTTTTAAGAAGAAACTGTTTTCTTACACAGGAGATGATTATTTGGTGGCATAGAAAATACATTCATATTAATAGGTCTGAATTCATTCATGTCTCCATTAGGAAATCTCTGGAATTACAACCATCAAACCATTGTTCACATTAAAAGAATAGTGTTCTGTCTTTTTGTATACTATTCCATACCAATAACAGGAATTTTCCAGAAGACTTCTGATCCAGTGTGTTATATAGAGACCTTAGGATGTCAGTGGAATAATTTTTGAAAAATAGCCCAAATATTGCTGGTAGGCTCCATAACCTATGTACAGTGCTAGTCAAATTTGATTGATTGTGAGAATATAGAATTCTAGGTTTCTGGCCTGGAGATTTTGATTCAGAAGGTCTGGGGTAAATTCAGAAATACATATTTTAAACCAGAATCCCAGTGACTTTTATAGCCAGGCATGACCCACTGTACAAAGTAGGTCCCAGCTAGGATCCAGAGTATGATTCCAACCAGACTCAGCAGAAGCCACAGTGCAAAAAAGAGATCATGGGATTTTAATAGCTAGAGAGAGAACATCTGTGAGTCATGGGATGCCCTCACCAGGTAATTGGACACCTAGGGTCAGTGCAGCCACCTGGAAGCTTCTGATAGAGAAAGCACTGGGGAATCTTTTATTAACATATTTAATATGCTTGACCAAGGGGAAAAAATATATGAACCTAGGAGGCCTTGTTAGCAACTCATCCCTGCATAGTGCATGGCCCAGAAATAATGATTTCTGTCTCAGGAAAGGTTTAATTTAACCCTTGGCTGTCTTTCTCCAGGGAGAAGCCAATTGACATGTATAAGCCATCCTAAAAAGGCTAGGGATCTCTGAGACCCCCATGGGTGTGCCTAGAGGGATGCATAGGAAGCCTCATGGAACTTCATTATGGGACAAGGTTTTGGCTTTCATGAGAGAGCAGTCTGCCATGCTATGGCTCAGGCTGCCCTCTACTTCTACCAGGGGCAGCCTTGAGAAATCCCTTGGGACCTGAGAATATTGACCCATCCAATGAGAGTTCCCACCACCCCTTCTGTGGGGCTGGTATGTAAGGACAGCTCTTTTCTAGCTGAGGGTTGACAAAGAGAAAGTGGTATAGAACCTTAGTGGGAAGCTGAAATTGGAACCATGTGCCTCAGAGAGTCAAATGGGAACTCTGATCTGCAGCTTTTCTAGGCTGCTTCTGTCACTCTGTATTCAGTCTGATAGCATACCTGCACACCAAACCACAGTAGGCAAGGTTCCAATTTACCCTGTCCGCAACAAACTTGGCCACCCCATGGGAAATTTTTTATTTGCTGGCAATAGCTAAGAGAATATGCAACGTTCTCTTTTTGCCAACAGATAAATCATTTTGTATGAGGGCCATCTTTTTGTTTTCTATCCCTGAAAGAGTCTGGGAGTAGCTTTGCCTTTCTTTCTTTCTTTCTTTCTTTCTTTCTTTCTTTCTTTCTTTCTTTCTTTCTTTCTTTCTTTTTCTTTTCTTTTCTTTTCTTTCTTTTGCCTTTTTCATAAATAAATATTTTAACTGGAAATTTCCAAGCATATGACAGGCCTAGAATGTGAACTTGAATGTACTGTAATAGAAATCATCAGTTGCTATGGCGACGTGTTCCAAGAGCAGATCGCACCAAGTCACGTGAGTGGAGAGTGCTCAGTAATACTAACACATCAGAGAGCGAGGCCACTTAACCTCAATCGCTTCCAGCTATTGTGCAGAATGCAATTGAATTTATTCCTAATTTCTGCCAGTGCTAAGGAACAAAATTTCCTTGCAGATTTTAATCTTACTCAGGCAGCCTCAGCTTGTGCTCAGACACTGTTCGGTACCAATATTCAGCCTGGCTACTTGCCCACTTTACAGCTCTATTTTCTTATTCTTATTTTTAATAATAGCTTCCTTCTCCCTGCTGGATCCCATACATCCCCATGCCCTGGGGAGAACTGCCCTCCTCCTTTCCGAATGGCTGCACGGTTTCTCTGATAGTCTGCTAATGCAAGGAACACAGCCTTTATAATAATACCAATAAAAACATGACACGTCTCCACTTTCAGCAATAGTTTGTTTCCCTTACCCCAAACCTATTCTGAAATAAAATTCCTGGTAGCTTTGGACTGCACTTTGGAATACCACAATTAGCAGCTCCATCATAATAAGACAAACCCATGGATCAGTGAATAATGAGTTATTTTCTGTCCCTTGTCATAGTCACCTCCCCCCTTCCCCCAACCTGGAAAGCAACCCAGACTACTAGGAGGTACAGCCGCTGATCACAGAACACTCATTTCGAGAGCTTATCAGCTCCTATGAAGGCTGATAAATCAGAGACTCTCATATGGACAGTCTCAAGTTAGCAGCATCATCGATCTCCCCTGCCCCTTTTAAGTTATTTGTCTTATTCACTTGCAAAGATGATATCAGAGATGCCAAATGAGCCTTTGTTTTCCGCACTCTTGTGCTGCCCAGGGTGAGTTGCTGTGTTGTTGCAGGGAACTAGGAAGCATGCTTCTAGGGGTTTGCCCTTTGTTTCCAACCCAAGGTCACCTCTCGCCCATTGGTTCAGGTGTTGTCAGCAGTCTGCCTGTGTTCTGAGGCAGGAGGCAATGTCCTTCCTGGCTGACAGTCTGCGTGACTCTAGCCCTCTACTTACTTCCTCTCTTTATGAATGCCACTTAAAAAAAAGACAAAAAACCTGCATGAATAGCTAAAGGGAGACAAAGCAGAGTCCAGGTCTCAGAAAGTCCATGTTGAAGGCCAGGCAAAAGGAACCTTAAAAACATAAGGAGATTATTGGAAAGGTCTTTTGAGAAAGAAAAAGAGTAGTTTCTGCAGTGGCCTTCTTTATTAGCGAGGTTCCTCTATGGGAGGTGGGGGTATAGTTGCAAATCACTTACTCAGCTAGTACCAAGCCATTGTTCCAACACTGTGTAGGAATAGGAAATGTGGAAACGTTCAGAGAAGAGGAAACTGCTGCTGCTGGTCAGAGCTGATGCTGCACAGAGAGCTTGGTAACTATGGAAATCTTCATGGAGCCTGTGAGAGAGAAGCAGCCAGAGAGGAAATGAAGAGAAGCCTTGTAATGAATTTTATATCAGCAGCGTGACATTTGGATCTGGAGAGAGAAAACCACATGGGAAACTGTTGATAGTGTACACAGCTCTGTGCCTGGCCTGCTGTGACGGAGCCTCTGGAAGGCCTTTTTTACACAACCTCGCCCCACCTCTGACCATCCACAGAGTTGAGCTACAGGGCACCCTCAGGTGTAGCCAGCCTTCTAGCTCCTACCCTTTAAGCTAGTAGATGCTCCCTCCAGCTAGGACAAGGAAGCACTGTCCTTAAACTGGCAAATTGTCTGGCCTTTCACAAAACTGAATTTTTTTTGTCAAAACTGATTTGATTTATACCAAAGCATCATTTTGACACTCACTAGTCTAAACTACTTGCAGATCTCTCACAGAGCTGTTCAGGCAGGTAGCGCCATAGAGTACCATAGGGTGTCTAATCTGCATCTAAGCAATGTCCCTAGTTAAAGAGACCTTCTGGAAACTACACCAATTCAGGGTACATGCCTGGGAACACTGAGCCTCATGGGCTCCTACTGAAGAAAGAGAATGTCAGGAAAAAGCTGGAGCATTTTATCTCTGATGAATTTCATTAAAGGGAAGGACAATCTGTGCTATTATGCTAATACTGGCAATAGCAATTTTATTATGTTCATTAATCTGTAGTCAAGGAATAACATTATTACAATTCTTACAGCTTCTCAAAGTACTTTTGTAACTACTACCTTATTTGAACTACAGAGCAACTCTATGATATAGGTGGAGTGCGTTTTACAAATGACAAAATTAAGATCTAGAAAGGTTGGGGCTAGGACAAATTCTCATAGATTAAAGGACAAGAGCTAGATTTCAAGATACTTGGTTCAGTGCTCTTTCTACCATCATGACATATTGAAAAAACAGAGGGGTAGGGTGTCGTTTTGGTTTAGATTTGAAATGTCCCCCAAAACTCATGTGCCATGTGCTTGGTTGCCAGCTGATGAACTTTTAGGGAAGTGATTGTATCATGAGGGCTCTAACTTCACCAAGTGGTTTATTCCATTGAGAAAATCATAATTTGATGGCATTGTTGGGGAGGGGTAATAGAAACTTAGGAGATGGGGCCTAATCAAGAGAGTGGGTCATGGGGGCATGACCTTGGGGACGATATTTTGACCTGGCCCCTTCCTCTCTGGCTCTTTCCAGCCTTATCTGCTTTTTGGCTGCCACAAAGTGAGCAGCTTTCCTCCACTATGCCCTTTTACCATGATGTTTCTGACTGGCCTAAAAACAATGGAGTTGGCCAACCATGGACTGAAGTCTCTGAAACCATGAGCCAAAATAAATATTTCCTCCCTTAGTTTTTCTTAGCTATTTGGTTACAATGACAAAAAGCTAACACAGAAAGTGCCTGCCATTTACAGTCTGTTCTGAACAAAACAGCCCAAAGAAGCTCTTTCCTGCATGATTTGCTTTAGTTCTGTTTTGGAAAGAACTAGTTCATGAGTGAATGGAAGGAGATTGGTGCTAGAGCAGAGGCTAATTATCTGTGGTTTGATCATGAAAGGACCAGTTGCCCAATAGAGTTTTCCAGATTAAATGGAAGCAACTCAACCCAATTTACACTTTTGGGAAGTTTGAATCTTGTTAGCAAAATGGAAGGCAGGTCTCGTTCTTTACAAGAAGCTTGCTGTACAAACCTACCTCAGAAGGAGTGGGACTTGGAGTGAAGGTGGAATTTGT